GTTGTTGTTGGCGATGGTGATTATGATACTGCTGATGAGGATGATGATGATGCTAATGATGTCGATGATGCTGATTATGATGCTGATGGTGGTTATGATGATGCTGGCAATGATGCTGATGCTGATGCTGATGATGATAATAATGATGATGATGATTGTGATGATGATGATGATGATGATGATGATGATGGCGATGATGATGATGATGATGATGATGATGATGATGATGATGATGATGATGATGATGTTGATGATGATGAGGATGATGATGATGATGATGATGATGATAATGCTGACGATGATGATGCTGGTGATGATGGTGGTGATGATGATGCTGCTGCTGCTGCTGATGATGCTGATGCTGATGGTGATGATGATGCTGCTGATGATGCTGCTGATGATGATGCTGCTGCTGATGATGATGCTGATGATGATGATGATGATGATGCTGATGATGATGATGATGATGATGATGATGATGATGATGATGATGATGATGATGATGATGATGATGATGATGATGATGATGATGATTATGATTATGATTATGACTGTGGTGGTGATGATGATGTCACGACGATGACGACGATTACGAGGGCGCGCCGCTGGATGACCCCAAGGGGGGGGGGGGACCCCCCTCCCCCTTTCCCGATCCGTCGTCGGGGACCCCCCCCCCTCTCCCCCCTTCCCCGATCCGTCGTCGGGGACCCCCCCCCCCTTTCCTGGTCCGTCGTCGGGGACCCCCCCCCCTCCCCTTTTCCGGGGGGGGGTTCTTTGCTCCTCCCCCCCTTTCGCCACGGCGCCCCCGGTTTCCGTAATCCGACCCCTACCACCCCTAACATTAATCCTCACCCTTACCCTAACCCTTAACCCTAACCCCAAACCCAAACCCTAGCCCCAAACAGTACTCACTACTCATTACGCACTACTCTCTACCCACAATTCACTAGTCGCTACTCACTACTCACTTCTCACTACTTATTACTCACTACTCACGACTCACTACTCACTACCCACGACTCACTACCCACGACGCACTACTCCCTACTCCCTACTCCCTACTTGCTACTCACTACTCACTACAAAGTACTCACTACTCACAACCCACCATTCAATACTCACTACTCGCTAAACACAGCTACCCACTACTCACTAATCACAAGTCACTATTCACTATCCACCAACCACTACCCATTACTCCCTACTCACACTTCAGTACTCACTACTCATTTCCCGCAACTCACTACTCACTATCCACTACTCGCTACTCGCTACTCCCTCCTCCTTACACAGTAATCACTACTCACTACTCGCTACTCCCTACGCCTTCTCGCTACCCAATACGCACTATTCACTACCCACTACTCACTACTCGCTACGCTCCCATTACTCACTACTCACTACTACCTACTACTCCCAACTCACGACTCACTACTCACTATTCGCTACTCACTACTCACAAGTCACTACTCACTACTCACTACTCACTACTTGCTGCTCCCTACTCGCTACGCACTACTTCCTACTTACTAGTGACTCCGGATTATTCCCTCCTCACTACTCACTACTCACAACGCCCTACTCGCTACTCGCTACTCACTACCCGCTACTCCCTACTCCTCCCTACTCACTACTCGCTACTCGCTATTCACCACTCACTACTCACTACTCTCTACTCACTGCGCACTACTCACTACTCACTACTCACTACCCACTCCTCGCTATTCGCCACTGTCTCCCTCATCCCTACTTCCTTCTTTCTACTCACTATGCATTGCTCACTACACACTACTCACTCCTGTCTACTCACTACTCGCAGTTCCTTACTCACTACTTCCTTCCCGCCACTCATTACCCTCTATTCACTATTCACTACTCACTAACCTCTACGCGCTACTCACAGCTACCACTACCCATCACCCACTATTCACTACTCACCACTCACGACTCACTGCGCAGTATTCACTATCAAATACCCACCATTCACCAATCGCTATTCAAAACACCCTACTCCCTACTCACTACCCGAGGGGCCCCCTCCCCAGCCCCCTGTTCGGCGCAAAGGGGGGGAGGGGGGGGGGTCGAACCCCCCTCCCCCTTTCGAGCGCCAAGGGGAGGGAGGGGGGGGGGGATTCTGCGAGCACTCCCCCCCTTTTGTGTATTCAGGGCCATCCACTGGCTCGCTTTCCTACGAGGATGCTAATTCTGACGCTCCTGCTGATGCTGCTTATGATGCTGCTTCTGATGATGCTGATGCCGATGGTGATGGCGGTCGTTATGGTTCAGGCTAGCACACAGCCGATAGGGGACGCTGAGGTCACCCGAACTTTGTCCTTGACGCTGGGGAGCCATATTTTGTACATCGGCATTCAGAGACAGATCGAGCATAGTATGCGTTTTGGGCGGAACGCTACCAAGTATTGCTGAACATCCGTCTCCCCGCCTTCCGAGGCATGTAGGCTGAAAGCACATTGAAACCATGTATGATCAGCAACATGCTTCCACAGAGTGCTCTCATTCAAGCTGAAACGTCATGTGCCGATTTGCTTTGGCCGACTTGAAGTCGGCAGCGCCTTGCCAGCGGGAGGGGGGGGGGACGGGCGGAGGGAAGCGAGGCAGCCGAGAGCGCCTCGCGCGAGGAGTGCAGGAGGCGGGCGGGGGGAACAGGCCGCCCTCGCCGCGGGTCTCGTGACCGGCTCGCTTGCGCCTCTGTCCCGGCTGTGGGCGAGGTCCGAGCGGCCTCGCGACGAGGACCTCCTTCCTCCGCCCTCCCCGGACAGGGCGGGATATCGGTACTGCCACAACTGTTTCTGAGCTCCACGCTCCACCCTTGCGTTCCCCTCCCGACAGGGGTGGAGGGCCCAGACGGCGCTGCGGAGCTTGACGCTTCCTCCTGCCGAGTCGATCCGAGAAGCGAGTTCCTTCGGCAGATGGTGTAACCAAGAACCCCGCCTGCCTTCGAGGCGGAGCTGGTGCAGGGAGTTCGTTCTGCCAACCCCCTGCTTTCCCTTCAGGGAGGGGGTTCCCCCTCCTCCTCCTCTCTCCCCCCTCTCTTTCCCCGTTTCCCCCTCCTCTCTCCCCCTCTCCCCCGCGGCCGCCGCTTCGCCCGATTGGTGCGATACCGAATGTTGCCGCCCAGGCCTTCCCAGCCAGTGGGCGAGGCTTGATGTCTGCACTCTTCTGCGCTCCTCTGCCCCCTCCCCCTGGGTCCGGACAAGGGCTTCCGCGAGTGGTCAGGGCGCCCAAGAAGGGCCACGTGCCTCGAAGGAGGCGGGCCCGCCAAGCGTCTGGTCCCCCCCCCGCCTCCGTGCAGCCATTTTGGGGCGCAAGCCTGCCGGATCCCCCCCCGCCCGTGCGCCCGCCTCCTGGCCACGGGTGGAGGGTTTCTCCGAAGGGCTTAGGCGACCCGTCCTCCTCCTCCTCCTCCTCCTCCTCCTCCTCCTCCTCCTCCTCCTCCTCCTCTTCCTCCCCCTCCCCGGGTCGCCTACGGCTCTGGGGGAAACCGTCCAGCCACGGGCGCCCCGGGCCCGAGATGCCCTTTGGCCCGAGGCCCCCGCCCAGGGCTTCCGGGGTTCGCGGGGCCCCGAGGTGCTCAGGGGCCCCAGGATGCAAGAAGTGTAGGCGTTTGCGTGCCAGTGGAGTTGTTTTTGCTGAGTTGGGCGCCCTGGCGCGGGCGACCGAACGACCCCTGCAGCGGGACACCCTGGCCACACGGTCGCCGCCGCACAAAACTGCCCGTTCAAGGCTGGCGCCGCGAAAAGGAGGCGCCGAACGGCGCGAGGGATTCACCGCTCACCAAGCCACCCCAACCCAGCCCGAGGGCCTCGATTTGCCCCCCATGGGGGAGGGGGGGTCGGGGAACGTGGAAAAAACACATGAGGCTCGTACCCCCCCCGTACCCCCCCCCGACCCGAAATTCGGGCGAAATTTGGGTCTGCGGGTTCGGTTGGGGTGGTCTGGTGGGTAGTCAGGAATTGAGGGCGCCTGTCGGGCAATGAGGGAAGAATGCCCGCCCGGGCACGTCGACGGAGGGAATCTGCACGGGTTCGCTCGATGCTGGCATTCCAGTGTGCTGGTGCAGTCCCCCCTCGACCACAACGCAGAAAATACACCACCCCGCCTGCGGCCCTCCATGTTGCGCTACTGCCCATCGGGGGCCCTGGCGTATACCACGTAGAGACCACGCCAGATTTGCCGGTATACGCGAAGCCCCGTGAAGGCGCAGGTGGGTCGGCGTCTTTTGTTTTCTGGTCCACCCCAGTCGGTTTCGCTGATCGACGTGCGTTTCGCCCGCTGCATGTGATTGTTCTTGGGCGTCGATGAGCTACCCCGGTGAGCTCCATTCGGAGTGCGGCGCAGTGCGCACGGGGAGGGCCCCCAGCAGCTGTCGCTACAGGGCGCTTCGCCGAAGGCTGTCCTGTCGGTCTTCGAGTGGAGGCCCCCCCGGCACTTCGCGTGCTTGCCGATCCTTGGCCCGTTGGCCGCCTCACCGCCTCACTGCTCTCGTCTCACTGCTCCGCCTCACTGCTTGCCCGTGCAGGCCTGTGCTCTGGCACACGCGCGCGGGGCTTTTCCTGCTCCGAGCGCGCTCCCCTGCCCGCGGCGTGCCTTCCCCCCTCGCCGCGCTGCTGTGCCCCATCGGGCCTGGGTGCTCCCCGCGCTTGCTGCCCGCCCGCGGCCTGGAGCGAAGTCGCCGCCGAGCTGACGTGTTTCGTCAACCCTGTGGGCGTTTTTTTTTTTTTGTTTCCTCCTTTTTTTCTCTACTCATCGTTCTGCCGATCGGCGCGGGCCCTCGCACCCCCCCCGCCCTGGAGTACATCTTGGCTGTTTTTGGCGCCCGTTTCGAGCGGTTGACCCATAGGGTACAAGGCTCCAAACAGTCGCACTAAGCAGAGGTCCGGAGCCAGACCCACCCCCCTCCCCCCCCAACGCCGAATAAAAAAAGTTCACCCTCGAACCTTGGGCCAAGGTCACCTCTGGCAGCCTCCGACCTGCCACCCATGGCCCGCTCGCGCTCCTCCGCGCTGGCCGCGGCGGCGGCCGCGGCCGCCCTGGTGTGCTCCGCGGCGACCTGCCTCGCGGCGTTCGTGGCCGGCCCGCGCGCCGCGGCGGCCCCCGCGGGCGCGTTGCTGGTGGCCCGGAGAGCCGAGGGCGAGAAGAAGGATCGGGGAAACGCAAGACTCGAGGAAGCCGGAACTTGGTCTAGCCGAAGTTTTTTGACGAGCGCGTCCCGGATTTTGACGGTCCGGTTTTCGTGGCATGTCTGCAGCGGGAGCCCGCGTCAAATTGCAGATTGGGTCTCGTCGTTTTCATGATGGTCCTCGTCAGGCCAACCCGAGTCCCCCGCACCCGAGTCTTACGTCTCCCCCACAGGAGCAGGCTTGCCACGACGGGGGGAGCTGCGGTCCTGGCGCCCCTTGGGTCGGAGGCTTGGTGGTGGGCACCAGCACCAGCATCGGTGGTGTGCCTCCACCGAGGGAAGATGATGCCGATCTCGGTGACGGTGGTGATATTCCAGGCCTCGTCGGGGGCCGAAAGATTGGCCACGAGCACCAGGCCCTGAGATCAGCACCGCTAGTGGACGCACCCCCTTCTGATGGTGTTGGTGTCAATTTCCAATGCTCCAGCTGGAGATTGTTTTTTGGGTGCTTCTTATTACTGCTGTTGTTGTTATTGTTATTGCGATTCTTATTGTCATCGCCATTCTCATTATTATCATTCTCATTTTCATTACCATTACCATTACTATTACGACCCTTACTTATCTCCTGATTCGTAATACTGTCCTTATCATATTAACATCAAGTTTCAATAACAATGTTGTTATTATTGCTGTTATTCGTCTTGTTACCATGAGTAGTACTATGAAGAAGACGGTCATTTTTTGCAATTGTCATTATTTTCTCCTTACATTGCTAACACCATTGTTTTTATCATTATTATTATTATTATCATCATCATCATCATTATTATTATTATTATTATTATTATTATTATTATTATTATATATATACTCTAACACATCATTCTTTTTAGTGCTATCATTTTCATTACTATTATTACTGTTGTTGTTGCTGCTGCTGTTGTTGTTGTTGCTATTGTTATTGTTGTTGTGATTGTCGTGGTTGTTGTTGTACTGTTGTTGCTGTTGCTGTTGCTGTTGCTGTTGCTGTTGCTGCTGCTGTTGTTGTTGTTGTTCTTGTTGTTGTTGTTCTTCTTGTTGTTGTTGCTGTTGTTGTTGTTGTTATTGTTGTTGTTGTTGTTGTTGTTGTTGTTGTTGTTGTTGTTGTTGTTGTTGTTGTTGTTGTTGTTTGTATTCTTAGTACTCTTGTTCGTACTCGCACCATTACAGTTCCGATGATGGTTCGCACTGTTTTTTTGCATCCTGATCCTTATTGCCCTCCGCACTCTTGCTCTCCAGCAGCGGCCCCTACCGGACCATGGGGGCAGGGTGGGGCCCCCCGTGGCCGCGGCACACAGAGCAGCGCCCGGGCGGGACGGGGGCGCGTCGGGGCGAGAGGGCGCGCCGAGGCCGCGGGAGTGGTGCGCGCGAGCACCGTCCTGTGCGTGGAGGGGTGCAGCCTCCCCCTCCCTCCCTCCCCTCCCTCCCCTCCCTCCCCTTCCTTCCCTCCCTCCCCTCCCTCCCCTCCCTCTCCTCCCTCCCCTCCCTCCCCTCCCTCCCCTCCCTCCCCTCCCTCCCCCCACGACGTGCGATCGTTGCCCTTCGCCGGAGGGAAGGGGTCCGCGGTGGGAATTTATATCCAGATCCACCGCCCGGAGGGTCAGTTTTCGGAGCCTCGGCAGGCGGTGGATGTGGACATCTCTGGGCTCCCGGGGGCCGGGGGCCGAAGCATGTCCATATCCACCGCCCGCTGGGGCACCAGGACGTCGGTTCCCAGGCGGTGGATATGGATAAATCCCCGCCTCGCGAGGGGGGTTTGGCCTGGGTAACGGCTGCTACGGGCCACAGGATCAGAACAGTCTCCTGCGGGGCCCATCGGCTTCGGCGCCCTCATCGAGGGGCCGTCGATACGGTGGGCTCCCCCAGGGGGCAAGGAACACGGCTCCTCTCCGGCTGTGGCTGGTCGGAGGAGGACGAGGGCTTCCTCAAGTTCCTCAAGGTTCGAGGACAAACACCTCATCTGGATATGCCTTAGGAGGTCTGCGCGGATTTCTTGGATGAGCGATGGCCCCCCCGCGCGCCAGGGAGGGGGTCCAGCGCCGATCCAAGAACTCCGCGCGGACCTTCGAACATTTAGGGTTATGACGATGGCTCTTGATCTAAAGGTGGAGCAGGATATCGAGCTGTCGCCGGAGGAGTACGCCATGGCACTGGAGCAGGAGGTCGAGTCGCAGCGCAAGCGCTATTACATCGGTGGGGTGGTGAAGGACAACAACCTCATCGTTCCGTGGAAGCCGGTCGACGAGAAGCAGCTGATGAAGGACGCTCGCAAACAGCTCAAGAAAAACGGTATCTTGGACCCGTCTGGCGAGATCGACGAGGACGCTGAG